GGGTATCTGCCATGCTCCAGGCACTCTCTGAGGCTCTGGGGATTTAAACATGTTGCCTGTTGTTCTGAAAATTAGAATCATGTGTTTGAATGATCATTTTGATCAAATAAACGTGACCACAGTTAATGACTAATTTTCTTCTTATTTAAGATAAGAATTGAGGTTCAGTATTAAGAAACTGATAAATTCACAAAATTACCTGACAAACCTTTTATGGAGCAAAGTTGGGAATGAATAAAATGAATGGATGAATAAATAACATTTTTCAAAACAAGAGACAAAGATACTATTAACAGTATAGAATTATTTTGCATTAATGTTATATACTTCAAAATCATATGCATCTACAAGACAATTATTCTTTTTATAGACCAAATAGATATCTGAAATAATATTTAATTATTATTATAATGTGGGCCAATGAGATAGGAATTATCTTGCAGTTATTATTTTGATTTTTACTCTGTCAGGTTTAGTCACATGTTTATTTATTTAATTTTATGCTGATTATAATGTCTGCATATATAGAATCATGATTTAAAATGAACACCCTGATGCAACTTTTAAATTTATTCCAAGCAAAAGGAGACTAAGTAACACATCAACTCATTTTACAAAACTCTCAGGTGCAAGCTTTTATTCCCATTCTCTCCACATCTGATATAAATCTCCCCAGACTGCGGAGGGGCCAGATGCTCAGGGAAAAAGGCTTTCACAAGGTCTGCTCCACAGCCTGCCGTTGGAGATGTAAAATGAAGATTGAGAGGAGGACGCTTCCTAAAGTTGAAAAACATACTGTAACTTTATACTTGTTCGCTTTCACCCTGGGAATAGATGAGCTATCTCACCCGACATTATGAAAGACACTGCATGAATATTGACGACAAGCGAGGCTAACTTCATCCCTGCAACATGTCATGTTTCCAAAACCCAGTAAGAGAAATACGCATTCCTTAAAAGGGATCCTTGTAAATAACATCCCCTGCTTTGCCAAGGGCCTCTCTCTCCTCCCTGCACATTTGCTGATCGCATCCATGTGAGAGAAACTACAGGCACTGGACGTGGAACAATGGTCCCCCCACGGCCAGTGCAGCGCGGGGAGACAGCTGGTGATTTCGAGCGCCCGACCGGGCAGGAGCCTGCTGTAACTTGGATTTCCAAAGGAGACGATGCTCACAGATACCAACCTGAGAACAGGCTGCAATGGCTCATGGTTTCCCCTGTCAAAGTGGCCCTGCCAAGGCGTTCATGTTAGGACATCTGTCTAACGCCTTTACTGAAAAGTCACTGGAAAATCATTTTGAAATACAGGGGCCCAATTGGACAGGGATTAAATAGACGTGGGCAAGTTCTTCACACATTTTTAATTTTTTAAATGACCCTCAATTGGATTCAATCCAAGACACATTTATTGAGCATTGATTGAGCTCGAGGACTCATCTTCATAAAACTTTTGAATATTAACTATCAACAAATGAACATCTTTCAATGTGGGATAGTGGATCAAACAATGAATTCATTTATGTCTCAACAAGATGAAAGAAGGCTTTTCACAGATCTTCCTGTCACAGATCACAAATCACTCCAGCAATAGGTTTCCATCAAAGCAGCCAGCTCCGATCACAGGTATGACCACAGGTGTAAAGAATCTTCAGATGTCAAACACTGGTTGCACAGATGAGAGTTTCTTCTCGACTGGATAACTTTACAATGGATGAAGCGGTAACTTTTGACTTTTTACTCTAAGAACCAAATTTTAATTTATGACATTTCTTGATATTTCTTGCAGTTAATCTATGTGATCTGTGTATAAAGACAACCATGGATGCAATTGTCCAAGAATTATAGTTAGAATGGTTATGAGAGAGTTGTAAACTCATAGATACAATGGGAGTGTTTTCTAATTGAATTGAGAACTTCATGGAGAAAAATTTTTTGAGTAAAATATCTAAAAACTTTGGATCAACTGAGATAGTAAGAACAGGTTTCATTTGCTATTCATTTTCTTTCCTTTTTCCAATCTTCCTCCCCACCCCCCTTTAAATTTGAAATCCTTTGGAAACAGCTAACACTTAAATTTTAAATTACTTTTATTGTATAGAAGGGGATTTTAGAAAAATTTAGTTTACAAATACAGTTTACACATTTCTGCTGTCCATTATTTCTCAAATTTGCTTTTCTTTATAGTTTCAATTCTTCCAAAGCTTTAGTAAATAAAGTATCTAGAAGCAGACCTAATTGGAAATAAGTGAGCTCATAGTTATATCTGTTATTCCTGTCATACCTCTGGTAGCTGCCAGAATATTTTATAAATGGCCACAGATAACCAGTTTAGTGGGCTTGCCTCACTGCACAGTACATAAATCACTGCTGATTTAACTCAGTAATTTTGCCTTTGAATTCAGGACTCGGTGCACACACATATACATGCGTACACTTTATGTCCTGTGGAGTTTAAAAGAGCGGTGTTTAATAACACTTGAATGTCACATGATTAGTCTTTAAAATGGGTTTTGGTTCTGTCTTTCTCATTAGCATTAAGAACCATTTCTGTGTATTTTTCCCCATTTAAAAATATCAAAAGAGAGCAATGTTGTGGTGGACAATATTGATTTAACAGATAAGCATAATCTATTTGTTTTAGCTGAAGCAATAAGTTCTTCAGTTGAAGGATAATAAATGTCTCCTTGTTTTCTGAAATCTTTCTGTAGCGTTACATATAACTTTGACCTCATAAGGAAGAATCACTCTCTGGCACATTAACCCTGAAAGCTGCTCTACCTTCCTTTGAGAGCAGGTAACAGTGTTATCCAGAGGAATTAAGCAAGGTCTTGAAAAGACAAATCCCAAAGAAGGGGGTGAAAATGACGAGAATTGCATGCTTCTTGTCAATACAGCTGCAGGTTGCATCTGTCCCACAGGCACAACAAGAGGTGAATAAAAAACAAAATAGTGAATAGAGAATGAAAATATAAAGAAGTCAACAACATAAACTGATGAACAAAAATAGATCCAGAGACATAAAAACATCGAACATTTCATCAAACCTCAGAGAGAAATCAGAGAATGATGGGGGTTGGAGAGAGAGGAGTGTGTAAGAGATTAACCAAAGAACTTGTATGCATATAGCTATAACCAATGGACACAGACAATAGGGGGGTGAAGGTCTGAGATGTGGATAGGGGCAGGCTGGGAGAGGACAATGAGGGATAAAAGGACATACACTGAGTGGCCAGATTATTATCATCTCTGAACGCATAATAATCTGGCCATTCAGTATATATCTTATATAATAAAAGGCTAATAGGCAAATTGTCCCCTCTACCAGGAGTTCGACCAGCAGGCAGGCAGGCCAACTGCCCATGTCCCCTCACCCTTGCCAGGCTGAACAGACCCCACCCATGCACAAATTCATGTACCGGGCCTCTAATATTCTGAGTGGCCAGATTATTATGTGTTCAGAGATAATAGTTATCTGGCTACTCAGTGTATGTAATACTTTCAACACTAAGAATTTTTTTAATTAAGTACAAATTAGCAGGTACTGAATAGTCATGGGGATGTAAAATACAACATAGGAAATATAGACAATAATATTATAATAACAATGAATGGTGAAAGATGGCACTAGATTTACTGAGATGATCACTTTATAAGCTATATAAATGTCCAGTCACTGGGTTGTGCACCTGAAACAATACTGTACCTCAACTCTAATTGAAAAATGAAAAAAAATATTATTCAAAAAAAGAAAGAAAATATAAAGAACTCAAATCACAGAGAGCTTTCTTTTCTTTTGATTTAACCCCAGGAAATCCATAAAAACTATCACAAACGTGAATATCATTTCAGCCAGTGAATTGCTACTGTGGTTGGAGAAGTAGTGTTTACATAAAAAAGAAAGAAAAACTTAACTACTTGGAGTACTGGAACCTTCAGGGTTTTATCCAGATGGTGAACAGGCAGAGGTGAAATGAGCTAGGAGCACAAATTCAACTAAAGGACAAATCATAGAAACCTGAGCGAAAGGGTATCTGTGAGCTGTTTTGAGCTGGTCCAGCCAGTGGTGGCCATGGGCAGGGGCAATTCCAATTTGGGGGAAAGAATTTTTGTTTTCCTCCTGCCTCTCCCCCAGGATCCTCTGGGACAACCCCTGTCTGCTCCTTCCCTGTTCAGAACACGAAGTCCACCTGCTCAGGTGAGGAGTTGAGGAGGAGACCTGCCAGATTACAGCCGTGCATCCACCCTCTTTCCTCTCAAACCCAAATTTGATGGGTTTTAATGAAGGAAAATGCCCCTTCCCAGGGCTTTTCTTCCAAAGAGTTTAGGGGATGAAATTCTGACCAGAGAAATCACATTATAAAGTTCTCTGAACAATTATTTCTGTAGAATCAGAAATGCCTTAAAATTTATCAACCATGTTGTTACTAGACCTTTTTTTCAACTGAGTTAACTGGAGTTACCTTCTATAACTCAACTTCTTGGGGTTATTATTAAGCTCTTCCCTGAAAACTTTCTCATCATCCTTTAGGTCCTGATGTTCTGCTACATTAGGAACTACATTAGGAACACTTGAGAGCTTTCTGTTTTTCACTCAGCAAATATCCCATATTTACCGTTGTAATGAAATGGGCATTTTGCTTTCTAAGAATGAAGCACAACCATACAGACAAAATTACATTGACTCTATTTGTCTTGAATAATGGAAAGTTATGAAAACTGACTACTGGCTTGGTAATAGGTCAAAAAACTGAACTAAAATGTTGAGTTGAGAAAATAAAGAAGTTGTAACTTCTGTGGTCCCTAGTGAATTAAGCTGCTTCCAGATGATTTTTGAATCTACACCTATTAAATGAAAATCTCTGCTTGCACCAATAAGTCACTGCAATTCTTATTCAATGGGATTTGATCATCACAAAGATTGGAGAAAGGTGATCCAACTCCCTTTACTTCTCCTCAGTGTACTTTGTGTGAAATCACAGCTTTGATGGAAACGTTACCTTGACAGTGAAGCGTTTTCTCTTAGGTGGATTCCAAACCATGCCAGTTGAATGAATGAATGCACGCAAAGGGGTTAAGGATGTCACCAACACGTATGCTTTAAGAATCACAGACAGATCTTCGGCTCTAAAGATGGTCTCATGTGGAGCAAGGACTGTTGTTTGATCCCTAAAAATTAAAGCAACACAGTTAAAGTCCCACAATGTAGCGTGAGGATGTCACTTATAAATGATCACAAAGCTTCGTACACTCATCTGTCCTTTGTTGGACCCCAGCTTTCAGTGTTTGGGTTTCCTTAAATGATTTTACTGTTTATTAGCATCACTTCCAGGGGATATACAGGTACACAGAAAAGGGATCAAATTAATAAGAGTTCTCCACTCAGGCAGAATTCATAAAAATATTTTTTAAAAAGAAAAAAAGGTCTGCTGAAACCGGTTTAGTTCAGTGGATAGAGCATCAGTCTGTGGACTGAAAGGTCCCAGGTTCAATTCCAGTCAAGGGCATGTACATTGGCTGTGGGCACATTCCTGTAAGGGGTGTGCAGGAGGCAGCTGATCAATGTTTCTCTCTCATCGATGTTTCTAGCTCTCTATCCCTCTCCCTTCCTCTCTGTGGAAAATCAATAAAATATATTTTTTTAAAATAAAAGAAAGAAAGGTTTGAAAACAGTACCTAAAATAAGGTTTAAAGATTAAAAAAAAAAAATAATTAGTCACATATGGATCCTTAGAATGGCTTTGTACATAGTGATACAAATTACAGATTAGGGGAGAGTGAAACCCTGAAATGTTCTGGCTCTGCCCTTACCTGCCTTTACTTTATCTTTTCCGAAACCAGAAAAGATGTTAAATTTCTCAGTAGTGGGCACCTCACCAAAGTATGCCAAAGTCCTTTCCCCACTAGTTTGTTTCTACCTAATAACCCTCTCCACAAATATTTAGGAGTTAAGGGATAAAGCACCAGGAAAATAGTTTAGTCTTAAAGGAAACATACACTAATTTAATATTTTATGATAAATAACTGTATTCTTATCATAAATGGTACCAAAATGTATAACTACTTGCTTTTCTCTACCATGTTTCTATATTCAAAATATCTAAGCAAAAGACTCAGGAAAAACTATTTTGTGTTGTAAATAAGATTATTAAAATCTCTTAATTTACCTACTTTACAAGTCACTTTTCTAGAAGTAGTAAGGCACTCCAAGTTGCTTTCTTAGATCCTGAAAGCCATAAAAAAAATAACTAGGAAAAAATTTCATTCAGCCATACTCATAGACTAAGGCAATGTCATCTGAGCATAAAATGGAAGTTAAAATTTTATAGTTTCCCATTTTCAAGCTTTTAAATTCAACTTACATTAATGTAACTTCCTAAATAAGAGTTCCATTTACCCAAATGTTTATTCTGAGGCAGGAGAGGTTTGAATTACTCTAGAAGAAAATCAATGATGGCATTTTTTTACTGGCTAGTGCTGCTCAGTGGTTGAGCATTGACCTATGAACCAAGAGGTCACAGTTCAATTCCAGGTCAGAGCACATACCTAGGTCTCTGGCTTGATCCCCAGTAGGGGGGTGTAGGAGATAGCCTATCAGTGATTCTCTCTCATCATCGGCATTTCTAGCTCTCTCCCTCTCTCTTCCCCTCTGAAGTCAATATATATTTCTTTTTAAAAAGAGATAACCAAAAAATGTACATTGGCCATAATATCTCAAATGGTTAGCTTACAGCTGTTCATGTCTCCAGGCCCATGGTTTCCACACATGTGGCTTCACGGTTTTTAAAAGGTGACTCCAAGAACTCAGCTTGAATTGTGTGCTCTGGTCCAAACACACAGAGGGGCTCACCGGAAGTTGCAGTTCTAAAAGATTCAAAAGAGCAAGACGGTCATTCTATTGCTTCCTTTTAGAATGGTTTCCATAACTGAGTCTGTATTTAAATTACTTTGCTTATGTAGTATGTTCTCCTTCCACAGACTAGGAAGACAAGTGTAATAACTGAATTCAAATTTTTTTGCGCAGAAGGGGAGGTGAATAGGATGTTTCCCACTGTTGAACCAAGCACACCTATCTGCCACCAGGATGAGAGATGCTGTGTGGGAAGGTACCAGAGGGAGCTGACTTTGTTTGCCATGAGAATATCACATAGACAGCTTTAGTTGATTCCCTGACAATACAATCCTTTGTGTGCTAGAGTTTGTCACGCCTCATGACCTAACAACAGTGCTTTATTATTTTGTAAAGTATTATTTCCTGGTGTTTTTTTTTTTCATTATATAAAAGTAAAGACCAATAGCAGTAACTTTCTTCAAAACACTCACAATGATATTTTTAAAAAATAGATTTATATAATTTTTAAAATCAAATTGTACAGAAAGCTATCAAATGGAAAGAAAAGGCATCCAGTAATCCATCTCCAGCTAGGACCTCTCTTCTTTACACCAAAGTCAAAGCTTACATATGCACTTCACTGTCTAGATAAGCAGAAAATAGGTGCACATGTTCTTCAATATGTAAATTGACATAAATATCAATGTATCTACACAATCTATACACGTAGATACAGATGGTCCCTGACTTACGATTTTTCAACTTTATGATGGTACAAAGGCAATATATATTCAGTAGAAACCATACCTCAGATTTTGAATGTTGATGTTTCCCTGGGTTAGAGACATGTGGTACATTCAATACTGTCTTATGATGCTGAGCAGTGGCAGCTGCCTGCAGCTCCGAGTCAGCCCCACCGTCACTGTACTCTGAACAACCAATACCCCCCAGTGGATTCATTGTTAGATGATTTTGCCCAACTGTAGGCTAATGTAAGTGTTCTGAGCATGTTTAAAGTGCTAGGCTAGACTAAGCTATGATGTCCAGTAAATTAGATGGCTTAAGTACATATTCAATTTATGATGGGTTTATCAGAAACTAACTCCATCTGAAGTCAAGGCGCATCTATATTTCTGCTTTTTAAGTTATCCAAAAGAGACATTACAATGTTCTGTCTGGCTTATTTACCTACTAATCCATCCTGGAGTCCTTCCCACATAAGCAAATACAGAATCATCTTATACTTCTTATTGAATATACATTTAATTTAACCAGCCCCTTCTTTGTTGTATATTTAGATTATTTTTGTAACATTCCTCTTTTACTATTTCAAAAATACTGCCACGAATGCTGCCACGCGTGTATTTTGGTGCACTTTCACAGGTTTACCGAGGGGCAGTTCTAATCTGCATGCCTCCTCGCCAGGTCAATGGGTAAATGCATTGTAAACGTGATACATTACTAGATGGACTTCCAGAAAGGTGGCCTCAATTCCCATCCTCTTCAACAGCATATGAGAGTTGTTACCTTACTGCTGGGTCACAGTGCTTTATTGTTCAATTATACAATTTATCTAGCTCTCAAAATGGAACAAAGCCTTTAAATGATTTCCCTCCTGTGCATGTTTCATCAATACTGACATGGTCTAATTTAAAACACTTCACACTCTTAAGTAAAAGTCAGCAGAAGTCAAGCTGTTCAATGTATTCTCAAATCTCATTACTTAGTACAGTATGATCTTTCTTAAAGCTGATAGCCTATTTATAAGGCTGCCCTATTAATGATGTTCTAACACATCTTAATAAAGGAAATACCCAAATCGCTTGTTTCTGGAGGTGACGAATGAAGAGTCATTAAGGTAATTTCTTTCTTGAGAATCAGACTTTTAAAAAGTTGAAGTGTTTAGATTTTTAGTAAGAAAGTGTGTGTGTGTGTTGACTTTGTCAACAAGTCTTCTGGACTCCAGCGTGTAATTCACATTAATTTTCTGAACGTCCCACATCACTAAACACAATGCTTAAATAAAAGAAGTACTCAGCAAGTGCTTGTTCTAGCATGCCAGAGGGCAGTTAAAACAAAATGATATTCACATGTGTTAAAATATTTATTTGGTTATTTATTTTTCCTTTCTATGAAACATATAATTATGTACATCACAAGCAAAGACTAAACACTGCAAAAGATTAGCTTGTACTAGCAAAGATTAGCTGCCAAATTTCTATTGTATTTGATTTACTCTTTTGTCCCAAAGTTAATAATTAATAGGAAAGAAATAGTAAAAACATAATTATATTTCACAAATATTTTAATATTGTCTTGAATTTAGTATTAGGAAGCTAAACCTAGCCAGTATTTTCTTGTTTTAAAACTTCCAGAGGGAGAGAAGGCAAAAATGGTGGCCAAATAGGCAGACCTGTCATGTACATCATATTCAATGGGCAAAAACTAAAATCATTTCCCCTAAGAACAGGAATAAGACAGGGATGTCTGTTTTCACCTCTCTTATTCAGCATAGTATTATACTAGAAGTCCTAGCCATAGGGATCAGACTAGAAGAAAAAAAAATAAAAGGCATCTGAATTGGAAAGGAGGAAGTAAAACTGGCATTATTCGCAGATGACATGTTATATAGGAAACACTAAACACATCATTAAAATGTTCATACTACCCAAAGCAATCTATAGATTCAGTGCAATCCCTATTAAAATACCAATGGCATATTTCACAAAAAGAAACCATCAACAAAATGAAAAGAGAGCCCACTGCATCAGAGAACATGGACAAAAGACCTAAATAAATAGTTCTCAAAAGTGGACATACAAGAGACATGAAAAAATGCTCAAAGTCACTAATTGTCAAAGAGATGCAAATTAAAATGACAATGAGGTATCACCTCACACCTGTTAGAATAGCTATCATCAACAAATCAACAAACGTCAAATGTTTGTGAGGATATGGAGAAAAGGGAATCCTCATGCACTGCTGGTAGGAATGTAGACTGATGCAGCCACTGTGCAAAACAGTATGAAATTTCCTCAAAAAATTAAATATGGAACTCCCATTTGACCCATCGACTCAACTTCTAGGAATATGTCCTAAGAAACCAAAAACACCCATTAGAAAGAATATGTGCACTCCTATGCTCATAGCAGTGCAATTTATAATATCTAAGATTTGGAAACAGTCCAAGTGTCCATCAGCAGATGAGTAGATAAAAATGCTGCGGTATGTCTATACAATGGAATGCTATGCAGATATGAAAATAACAAGGACTTCTTACCCTTTGAGACAGGAGGGAGGGACCTGGAGAATATTACACTAAGCACAACAAGCCCATAAGAAAAAGGTAATATCTCACAATCCCACTCATATGTGGAATCTAATTAGCAAAATAAACTGATGATCAAAAATAGACCAAGATATATATATAGAAGCATGGAACAGACTGAGGACTCCAGAGGGAAGGTGGGGGTGTAGGGGTGTGTGTGGAGTTATTAACCAGGGAACCTGTATACATATATCCATAGCCCATGGACACAGACAATAGTTTCGTGAAGGCCTGGGAGTGGTGGGTGCAGGGTGGAGGGGGTCAATGGAAAAAAACAAACAAACAAACAAACAAGTAAACAAAGGTGATACCTGTAATACTTTCAACAATAAAAAAAAGAGAAGAAAATATTATTAGATCTGTAGTGATTTTCTGTTTTAGCTGCTATAATCATTGTAATCATGAAATAATGATGAACATCTTTAACAGTAAAAAAAAAAAAAAATCAATAATAACAAAAACCTTTCAGTGAAGTTAAGGCCTTATTTAATTATTAACAATTAGTTTTGAGATTAGAAATATAACAAGTACTATTTGTGGAGTTACTAATTGTTTTTCTTGCATGAGGGCATTTGTAAGTCACAGTCCTTAGCCTGCAGGTAAAAAAGCTATGCAAATATATCCTCAGAATTTATGTGCATAGCAAATATCTACACTAATAAAAGAAAAAGATGCTAATTGACCATACCTTCACAACACCCACTAATCAGGAGTGAGTATGCAAATTAATCCAACAAAGATGGTGGGTTAATTTGCATATACAGACACAGAGAGGCCAGGGGCAAAGCAGGATGCTGGCGTTGTCACCATGGTGACAACACGGGCATTCTGCACTACCCAGCTGCTCAGAGCCTCTGGGCAGCGTGGTGGGTGGGGCCAGAGTGGAAAGAGGCAGCTCTGGGGCTGGAGCAGAAAGGTGGTGCCAGCAGCCAGGGAAAGGAAGGCCCATTCTTGCACAAATCTTTGTGCATTGGGCTTCGAGTACATTAATATGTTCATAAATGGAAGTCATAGCCAAGAAATAACTCTCTGTCAGGGCCTTGGGAGAAAATAGATGAAGGCTGGAATCAAAGGGGTAAGAGACTGCTAACCAGGACACTTAGCAAGAGCCATTTAAAGAAGGGACAATTAAACAAACACGGGGGAAGAGTTAAGGACAAGCAGCAATAGATAGTAAAGCTCTGCATGTCTCACATATGGAAGCTCTCACCACCCCTGCTGCAGAGGGAGATGATGCAGAACCAGGCAAGAGGCATAGCTGTGAGAGAGGGCACCATACAGAAGCCATGGCGACAAGTGGAAGAGCATATTCATCTCCAATCCAGGGCCCAGCAAGGAAGAAGCCACGAAATGATGTTCCAAAGTTCTCTCCATCTGAGCTCTGAGCTCCTGCTGGAAGTCAGGGGCCCAGGGCCCTGCTGATGCAGGTTGTGCGGGACAGCTTTCTGGGGAACGGCCGAGGGTGCATTTGCAGGGACAAATGAAGGAGGCCCAGCACAAACCCTGGACTGTGGACTGTACTCGGAGAAGAATGAATTTTGATGCCAATCTTCTCCTTCCTCTCAATCAAATAACAAGAGATACGTGCAATGCTCATAAAAGAGGGGAGCTGACATGAAAAGAATGAGGAAGCCCAGAGCAGAGCAGTTTCACTAGAGTGACATGTGGACATTTTTGTTCACAGGCTGGGAAATGAGTGTGACA